CAAAAGGCAGAAAAGTAATATTACACCAAATGATTTTATGGCACTCTGATAATTTGTAAAGTGCCAGTTAGGAAAAATTGCCTGAAAATCTCACACATGCAAAATGTCTATACAAAATAATGCCAAGCCATATCTGGATACATATATGAACACAATCCATCAAAACAGAAATTCATGGCAGGTTTTTAAAATAAAGAATAACATTCTAATAGGCGGGAAACAAAGATAATCATCTTAATAGATGCAGAAAGCATATCTAATAAAACTCAAAATCCAACAATAATTTTTAAAACCTCAAATTAGGAAGGGAAGGAAAGTATGTCTACAAAATGAAGAAACCAACAGGTGTTAGCGATATTCCAAGAGGTTTCTCTGGGAGATCAGAGGGAAAAGATATGCCTGCCCTCAGCACTTCTTCCCAACAACGTACTGAAGGGCCAGTCAGTGAATGAAGACAAGAGGACAAAATCAAACATAAAGGAAAAGATTAGAAAAAAATGCCATCCTTCACAGGTGACAATTATAACTGTGGAAATTCTAACCATTCTACAAGCCAGTAAGCTGAGTAAGGCTCCTGGACGAGCTCACAGGTTACTCGTTTCCCTATATACCAGTAACAAAGGAGAATGAAACAGCGCTTACAACAACAACAAATGAGAGCTGAGGTTAAGGAAGGAAAACAGATGCAGGAAAGATCTTTGGAGAGAGACGTGCATCACACCGAACCATACTGAACTGCCAACATTTGAATACCATCAACCTACAAAACCAGAAATTTCATGACTCAACCTAACAAAAAGGAGAGAGAAGAATGTCTGTCTAAAACTTAATGATCAATTTACTATAAAAATACTTACATTATGCAGTACTCTTTTCTACTGAAATCTGAGAGCATGTGGGATAAATGTAATCCTGAATATTTAAATTGACAATAAAAAAAGGCTAGCACTGTAACAGAACGACCTGAATAAATGAAGACACATCACATTCATGGATTAGACTCAATATAATACCATACATGTCAAACAGGTTTTTATGTGGAAATTACAGAGATGATTGGGAAAATGCAAATGAAAGTACACAGTGCCAAGAACAGAAACGACCTTCTTGAAGAACGAGGTAAGATGGTTTGTTCTGCCTGAGTTTGAAAATGTGGAAGTGATACAAGGATACAGAAAACAGTCCAATGGTACAGAACAGACCAGAAGGAAGCACAGCATAGAGATGTGTACAGGATGTGACAGAGTGAATGTGACTGTTGTTGTGAAGTGCCATCGAATCGGGCGTGACTCATAGCGACTCTGGATAAGGTTTCTGAGGAGTGGCTGGTAAGTTTGAATCATCGACCTAGTGGTTCAAACTGATCTTGTCCTACAATACCACACCAAGACTTCAACAGAGGTGATAGTGAAGCTCAATTTGATGGGAGTGGGTACTTCAAAAAACAGTCCTAGGAAAAAATGATCATCCATGTGTGTTGAGTTCATTTAGACCCTTATCGCACACTGTACACAGAAACACCCTCCAAGTGGACTAAAAACCTAAAGAAAGGCAAATTCACAAAGCTGTGAGGAAACCGTTATGCTTTCTGGGAAGGGACACAGAAGCACAAGCACTGGAGGGAAAATTGTCAGTTAAACCACATTAGAATCAAGAAACTTCCACTCACACATCAAAACTCAATAAAAGCTAGCTACCCACACACTTGGAAGAGATGTTTTCTCATCACATATAAATGACATAAACCTAATCTCCCCAATAAAAACTCCAAGAAACAACGAAATCTACCCAACAAGGGAGAAAATCAGAAAGGAATAGGGTCCTCACAGCAGTGATCTGCTCTGTCAGTAAATGAACTCAAGCTCATCAGGAGTTGGGGAAATGCAAACTGAAGCCATAGAGACATACTACTCTGTAGTACACCACCCGGTCAGCAAAAACTAGTCTCACAAAAATAAGCGTGGAAGAGAATGTAGAGCAAGCAACGCAATGGCGCATCCTGCCGTGGAAATGGAGTCTGGGACAATCACAATCACGTGAAGTCTTTGGTCCTATTGACTGAAGTTGAAGATGTACAGGTTCTACCCCCAGCAACTCTATCTGCAGAGTAACCAATGTCCATCTGCAGCAGGACACATGGACAAGAACGTCATGGCAGCCCCAAACTGGAGATAGCTGATGTGTCCACCAATAGCAGAAGGTACTCTTTCCAGTGAGGAGAAAATAATCCCCCCATCTACAGGTCATACTGCTTCCTTTTTGGCTGTGGTGCACCTAATACTTGTACAACACTTTGTAGGACAGGGTGTTTACTGCTGGGATGGCTATCACATAACCATTCTACTCACTGAACCTTTATTTGCCTACCCATAGTTTCTGCTCCATCTTAGTGCCAGTTCCTAAAGCCGGGTGCTCTAGTCCAGCAGCCCCTTGAATCATTTTGGGAAATATTTTCAAAATAAGAGCTTTGAGCTCAATGTGATGAATATTAATATTTTTTCCTTGAGCATACATGCTTTTGAAATACTTTCTACACTCAAATCCATCAGCAGGTTCTCTGTACAGCCTATTTATTTAGGTGTGTCCTCCTTTTCATCATCATAATTTGTGTCCGTGTCAGAATTCCAAGTCACTTAGAAGAAGTCTATAATGGAGCTAATGTCCTTAGTCTAGCAAGAGCATTACCTGTGTCTGTAGAAAGTTCTAAAATCGGTTTTCTAAAATATGAGCTATTTTTAGCATCTCACAATTCTTCTTTATCTCCAGAGTAGGTAAACATATTCTGTAAAGGGTCAGAAAGTAAATGGTTTAGGCTTTGCAGGCCAGATGGTCTCAGTTGCAACTACCCAACAATGCTTTTGAGTATGAAAGCAGTCATAGACAAATACATAAACCAATGGGCAGGGCAGTGTCCTAATAAAACTTTATTTACAAAAACAGGCACACTGCAGGCTATAGTTTTCTAACCTCTGCTTTTGATTATTATTAACCATATGCAGATGTTTGCTTCCCAAAATGTCATCTCCATGACATTAGTATTCTAACTAGTCAGCACTTGGCAAAAATATTAGCTTGGTTGCTACCCTTATGTAAAGAAAACTGCCAAGGACCAGTCTAGAATCCTCAATGTTCAACACAACAAATCTATTTCTAAGGATTAATAGTAAAGAAAAGAAATGCACAAAGAGGCATGCTCGTACACATGGATATTACAAAAACATTTTATGTAATAAAGGGCGGAAAATGTTTTAGCCGAGATTTTCTTTCTATAATCAGTGACTATTTAGCCAATAAACTCTGATCTGAAGGATCTGAGACAGACTACCACATCAAGGATATTTTCCATGAAAATAAGGTCGTTGTGAAACAATGAGTAGTGTTGCAGCATCTTGAGGGGGAGAGAGAAGGCCTAATCAAACACTGGGGTGACTGGTATGTCAGCTGGCTTTTTGCATTTTGAATTCACTTCATTGAGCTTGTTACAAATTCTAGAAGTTAAAGAATATGGTTCTGAGGGAGCTAGTCTTAGAATTAGAAGTCTGGCCAACAGTTAGCTGGTTAGGTGTTGTTGTTGTTGTTGTTGTTAAGTGCCATCGTGTTGATTCCCACCCACAGCGACCCTGTATAGGGTTTCTAAGGAGCAGCTAGTACATACAGTTATTTCATCAATATAGATTCCAATACTCGTCATAGCTATCAAAATGCCCTTGGATATAAATTTGTTTAATCTGCATGAATTCTGTGAGGTGAGGAAGGACACGCTCCCAAAGAACAGCAACGAAAAGCAGCAACAGAGATTTAAGCGCCATTCTCAATGAAAATGTCTCAAGATTTCCTTAGTACAGAAAGTTACATCTTTCATAGATTCCATCTTGCTACTAAGGAACATGTGCTTAATACCTAAAACTGACATCTCTTGCTTGATTCTGTAATTAAATGTCATTATCAATGAGAATCTTACCCCAGGAAAATTTTTGCACGAAGTTCTCTTTTGGTCCTTGAAATGGTCTTCAGTGTGGTGATTTCTGCATCAAACCAAAATCCTCTTTCTCCAGGACTTTCGACATTGTAATTAACCATTACCATATCACCAATATTTAGTTCATTCCACTTTAAAGTAGTTCTAGCTCGGGGGCGAAGGTCCTTAACATTCATTTCTAGAGTCCCACTTTCCGGATATCTGAGAAGAGAGAAGAGAACCACAAAACATACCTTATGATTACTGCCAAAGAACATTAGCAATTAAAGCAACATATATAAAAACTGAATTGTGCAGGGTTCAGTATCTGGATAACAGAGTGAAGAGAAGTAAAACCAACTTCCACTTTCCTAATGCAGGTGTACTTCTTCCCTGTACAGTGACACCAATGGGTTGGTTTCTCTAAGAGTGGGGCGTGGCCTGCAGTGTCCAACAGTAACTTGTTCCTATGTCGTATCTACTTTGAGAAGGCTATATGTGACTACTCTGGAACTCATGGGTGTAACACAGGTATTCAGGCAAGGATTGGTGTTGTGATCTGAACTGCTGTTGTTGTGAAGTGTCATCCAGTCGGTTCCAACTCATAGCGACCCTGCTGATAGGAGCAGCTGGTGGGTTTAAACTACCGACCTTGTGGTTCACCGTCTAGCACTATTCCGACAGCACCACACCAGCAGTACATAACAGCACTGCAAGTAAATGAGATATATTTGTGATTAAACTCTGGAGTAAAATAATTCTTGGGCCAAGTCTTAGTCATGCACTGTTGGCTAACTTTGGGGAAGGTGGTGGGGTGAATGCCGTAGAGTGACCCTACAGACAGGACCCAGTAGAGCTGTCCCACAGTGCTTCTGAGGACGTCAACTTTACAGAAGCAGATCTTTAGGTCTCTTTTACTAGGGAGCCATGAGGTGGGTCCAAACTGCCTACCTTTCTGTTAGTAGTCAAGTGCTTAAACACTACACGAGGCTCCTTTTGAGGGAGGTATGAGTAGGTCAAAACACAAGTTCTTTTTGCTCTACATTTTCTTAACACAAATTTAATCGGATTAGATGATGATTTCTTCTTGAACTAGAAAACAGTTCATCCAAGTCTGTCATTTGCTTTAGGATTAATAATGCAAACCAGGGACACCCAGCAACCTCCATTTCCCAGCTAGAGAAAAAGAAGATTCTAGTTCTTTCACATAGCAGCCCACCAATCCAAGAAGAAAAAAGCACACCAACCTAGGTGTGATCATAAAGATGTGAAATAAAATCCGTAATCTAGGGGAAATTAGATGAAGAGTCTAAATTCAGAGGCACTTAATAATTTCCACCTTTTAAGTAAAAACAGTACTCTGGTAGCGTAATGGTTATAAGTCAAGGCTGCTAAACTGTAAAACTACCTGCAATTCCGCAGGAGAAAGATGAGGCTTTCTGCTCCTGTAAAGATTTACAGCCTCAGAAAGCCTATGCAGGATCGCTTGTCGGAACTGACTCCATGGTTCACTATCACCCCCCCACCATTTCTGTTTGGAGTCCTGCTGTGGTGCTGTAGTTATCGATAAGCACTGGACTGTTAACCACAAGGCCGGTGGTTCAAATTCACCAACTCAATGGCACTTAACAACAACAACAACATTCTGAAATTAATAAGCTAACTGGTGCCATGGCAAAAGCTTCAAACACCACATCTTAGGCAATAACTACTTATCAGCCAAGAGCCTGACCAGGTTACAAAGAGAGTTTTAGAAAGCCAAGTTACTCTCTCCTGAACATGACTACTTAGAACTTTTTAAATGTGTTATTTCAACACGAATGACAATTCCAAATTAATTGAACAGCAAGTAAATCCAGTTAAGGAAAAACTTCATAAAGCAAGAGAAGAGTAATGTCTGCAACAGCACACACGTCCTGCTGCTGCATGGACATGAAATCCCCAGGAGCCATAGCCTTCGAGTTCAAAGGCTATTCAAACAGGCCATTTGGCTGACATAGACCAGGTCCCAGCTAATCTCAAGTATTTGCTCCCAAATAAAGAACTATCATCTCCTCTCCTAGCATGGCCCCCTAATGGCTTCCTTTTCTAATCTTTGGTACTTGGACTGGCTTAATCTCAGAAGTTGGTCTCTACTTGCTTACAACAGCATCATGTAAAAATGAGGTTCCAACCAATTAATTTTATTAAAATAGGTATTTTACACCAGACAATTAGAGATTTCTACTTGGTTGTTGTTAAGTGTCATCGAGTCAATTGTGACCTGTTGTTGTTGTTAAGTGCCGTCGAGTCGTTTCCAACCCATAGCGACCCTGTACAGGGTTTCCAAGGCTATAAATCTTTACAGGAGCAGAAAGCCTCATCTTTCTCCTGCAGAGTGGCTGGTAGTCTTGAACTGCTGACCTTAAGATTCGCAGCCCGATTTGTAACCACTACGCTACCAGAGCTCTTTTTATTGTGACCTAGCAACCCTGTATAAGGTTTCCAAGTAGCAGCTGGTAGGCTTGAACCACCAACTTTGCGGTTCAAATTGACTTTGCAGTCTGATGCATTAGCCCACAGAGCCACACCAGGATTCCCCTACTTGGTTAGGTAGAGAATTATCAGTGCCTCTACTCAGTAGGAAGTAGCTACAGAGAAAGAAGAGACTTTCATACAAGCTCCATAAGAATTTAAGAGTCTGAAATCTGTCAGGGGGGAGTGAAGCAGGATGGAATTCATGGAAAATTATTTGGAAAGTAAATTCATTAAAATAAGGAAACCAGAGTGAAACCTGCATGCCAGCTAGAACAAAGCTCAATGTGAAACTGCCTTAGATGCAGAGACTTCCCAAGGTCTCACAAAACCACCAGTCCACAAGCTGAAGCCCACATCCTGGAATGCTGAAATCATGCTTGTTGTCCCCTTTGTAAAACTTCCTCAGAATTGCTTCTCAGAAATTCACAAGGCCAGAACAAACCTGCATCAGATCCAGAGTATGTGCAGAGTTTCCAACCCTGACCAAGATAGAACTTCCCAGTAGGACACTGTAAATACACCCCGTTGTTGTTGTTGTTGTTAAGTGCTGTCGAGTCAGTTCCGACCCATAGCGACCCTGTACAGGGTTTCCGAGGGTGTAAATCTTTACGGGAGTAGAAAGCCTCATCTTTCTCCCGCGGAGCGGCTGATAGTTTCGAACCGCTGACCTTAAGGTTCACAGTCCGATTCGTAACCACTACGCTACCAGAGCTCAATAATGAGTGATAATTGGCATCCCAGAGGCCTTTACAATAAGATCCATCTTTTAAAAAGGCTGTGTATGCATCTGATTACCACAACTTCTCCCAGCTGGGCAAACTCCAGAAGTACTGGCCAGTTTCTTTGTTTCCCCCGTTTCTCTCATTATCTTTGTAAAGAGTATGACTGTCCTATTTCAAACTTGCTCAAGCATATTGTGTTGCCTCAAGGTCTACCATGACTCCCCTTGTCAAGTTACTTTGACTCCTACTAATAAATTCCCTGCTTGCATGGTAAGCCTGTTCTCTTGCTTCATTATTCTTACTTAGCAGAGAAAGAACCTTTAATCTACAGAAAGGTCCAGCGACACATGTGGCAAGCCATCCAGGAGATGCGGGTAGTATTGTCAGTGAAACAGTTTCTTTCTGTGGTATGGTTGGTGACCTAGGCAATTTGTAGTAGTCTCCAACTGATGCACAATTTCTGAGACATGTTTTATCTGAGAAGCTGATCCAGCCAGCCAAATCTTTGCCCTTAGATCCCCGACTGTTTTACCTTCTTAGTATTATTTTCTACCCTACAGACTGTTTATTGTTTGGATGAAAATTGAGTCACAAGAGTGAGCTCAGTTCCAGTCCTGAAGGGTGACTAAGGGCCACCAGTCTCAATCCAACCAGTAAACCTGGTCTATATTTTATGATTTTGAGATTTGTGATACACTTTTTTCCTACTCCATCCAGGACCTTCTAATGTGATCCTTTCCAGAGCAGTCAGAAGAGGTAACTGGACAATATCTACTTTTTCAGGTGGTCTCAGGGTCATCTAGGCTAGTTAGTGTTCTTTTTCTCCAATCTAGTCTTCTCAAGGCCAAGGCAACTTAGCTTCTTGCTCTTCTGTACATGGCCCACCTCCTTCTCCCAGCTTAGCTGCTAACCAAAAGACTGTGAGTTTGAGTCTACCCAGAAATGCCTTATTAGAAATGCTGGGCGATTTCCTTAAAAACCAACAACAACAAAAAACAAAAACAGCCAGCGAAAACGCTATGGCGCACAATTCTATCCTGACGCACTGGAGTCTCCATGTGCCAGACTCAACTCAATAGCAACTGTTTGATTTTTTTTCTGGTTATACGTTTACTCAGGAGTTGTGATTTTAATTCCTTTCATTTGAACAACTATGGATTCAGAAGAATCTTCCACCAGAATTGGCTGATACATGGCAGAAGAGGCAATGGGAAACGCTTCTCCTATCTGGATGATTGTTGTTGTTGTTAAGTGCCGTGGAGTCGGTTCCAACCCATAGCAACCCTGTATAGGGCTTCCTAGGAGCTTCTGGTGAGCTTGAACCGCTGACTTTGCAGTTCAAACAACTTTGCAGTCTGGTGCATTAACCCACAGTGCCATACCAGGACTACTGGTCCTAAAATGTCTGCTTTCAGGAACTCTGTGTGTAATGAAAATAAACTCTACCTGCCCTTAGAGGGCAGTTTTATCCCTAGGAAAATCCATTTTGTCTTCATGTAATTCTGACATAGGAAAAAGAGGACATTTGATATTAGATTCAATATAACCTTTGGGAATTCACTCCATGCCTCAGTTTCCCAAAGAATTCTATATGCTCTCCGTGTAACAGGCCACTTGATGTTTGATGTCTCAATGTCCCTGCCACACTCAATCTTCTCCCATGTGACAAGGTGTTGAAAGTCTGTATCAACCTGGAGGTCTTCATACTATTTTCAGCCCGTCTGGGCATAGATTTCCAGCATAGCATTTTGCTACTGTGTGTCTTTGGGAAAGTTATGAAACCTCTCTGTAAAACATACCTAACAGCATCCAGACCTTAGATGGTTGTTTGAGAATGAATCTAAGACGTGTGACGTGCTCAAAAAAGTCCCTGATGGGACAGGTAAATATTAGTTGTTAATATTTTGTCATTGTTATACAGAAAGAATCCTAAAGAAGTAAACTGACAAGTACCAAGTCAGGTCTAAGCCCTATTCTTCTCCC